CCTCCGCCCCAACCCCCCCCCCCTCTCACTCAATCCAAGGTCAAGGTTCAAGAAACACCGGTCGAGCACTCGTGAAGCCTGAAGACATAACAACTGAAACGTCGGATTATTCTTGAAGTCCTTTATCAGCGTGTTTGAGATGACGGGGAGATTGGAGAGAGAGGGGGGGGGGGTGAAGGAAGGGTAAAGAAGAGGAAAAGAGAGGGGAGGAGAAACGAGGGTAAGAGAGGGAGGAGCGAGAGGGGGGAAAGAAAATTGAAGGAGCAAGAAAGTACGGTCAAAGGCATTACACATAACGAAAACCTTCTCCCCCTCCCTCCTCCCTCTTCTCCCCTCCCCTCGCTTCCCACCCCGCCTCCCTTCGTCTTCCCTTCACTTCCCCCCCCTTCCACTCTTTTCTCCCCCCCCCCTCCATCTCCCCTCCACCTCTCGCCACCGACCACCTCCGTACGGTGGCTGCCCGCAGATGACTACAGTCTACGGACAGACGGCGCCGCGCCCGCCCCCCCCTCTCCTGGCTCCAGACGCCCGCGCTGGGGGGGGGGGGGGTGACAGTCACTGTGCTAAATGGGTAGATAGGGGATAGATAGATAGATAAACTGGGGCATGGGGAGGAGGACACGGAGACAGGGAAGGAGGGAGGAATGAGAGAGAGAGAGAGAGAAGAGAGAGAGAGAGAGAGAGAGGAGGAGAGAGAGAGAAGAGAGAGAGAGAGAGAGAGAGAGAGAGAGAGAGAGAGAGAGAGAGAGAGGAAGAGAGAGAGAGCAGTCAGAGACCGAGAGGCCGGCGATGAATGCACCTTCAGGAGAGATAATCAGGTTGACCAACATTCCAGCGAGCTCATCCACGGCGGCGGCCTCGCTCGCACGCGCGCCTACGCGCAGGAATCGGTCCCAGCGCGCCTGTCGCCGTGCTCCTCTCTCTCTCTCTCGCTTTCCCCTCTCCATCATCGCCCTCCACCCCTTTCCCCTCCTCTAATACTCTCGCTCTCTCTCTCTCCTCTCTCTCTCTCTCTCTCTCTCTCTCTCTCTCTCATCTTCTCTCGCGTCCCTCTCCTCCTCTCAGTTCTCTCTCTCTCTCTTCTCTCCTGTCTGTCGTGTCTGTCTGTCTGTCCTTGTCCTGTCTGTCTGTCTGTCTGTCTGTCCTGCTCTCGTCTGTCTGTCTGTCTGTCTGTCTGTCTGTTCGTCTCGCTTTCCCTCCTCCATCATCGCCCCCTCCACCCCTTTCCCTCCTCCCTATAACCCTTCTTTTCCTTCTCTCTCTCTTCCTCTCTCTCTCCCTCTCTTCTCTCTTCTCCTCTCTCTCCTTCTCTCTCCTTCCTGACCTCTCCATCACTATCTCTCTCGTCTACACTTCTCTCTCTCTTCTTCCCTCCCTTCCATTGTCGTCCACTCATCTCTCTCTCTCCTCTCTCGCTTTCCCTCCTCCCGTCATCGCCCCCCACCCCTTTCCCCTCCTCCCGTATACCCCCGTCTTCCTCTCGTCTCCTCTCCCTCTCCCTCTCTCTCTCCTTCTCGTTTTCCCTCCCTCCATCATCGGCCCTCCAACCTCCTTTCCTTCCTAGCCCTATAACCGTCTTCCCTCTCTCTCTTCTCCTTCTTCCCCCCCCCTCTCTCTCTCTCTTCCTCTCCTTCCTCTTCTCCTCTCTCGTCTGCTCCCCGTCTCTCTCCGCTTCTCTGCTCGTCCATCCTTCTCCCTGCTCCTCTGATCTTCCTCTCTCTCCCGTCTCCTCCCGTCTCTCTCTCCTCTCTCTTCTCATTTTCCGTGTGTGTGTGTGTGTGGTGTGTGTGTGTGTGTGTGTGTGTGTGTGTGTGTGTGTGTGTGTGTGTGTGTGTGTGTGTGGTGTGTGTGTGTGTGTGTGTGTGTTCGTGTGTGTGCGTGTGCGTGTGCGTGTGCGTGTGCGTGTGCGTGTGTGTGTGTGTGTTGTGTGTGTGTGTGTTGTGTGTGTGTGTGTGTGTGTTGTGGTGTGTGTGTGTGTGGACCGGCGTGCGTGTACCAGATTACTAAACAAAAGGATGAATATCAAAAATGAATCTCGCGGCTAACTTCACTTCCAAAAAAAAGCCAATTAGCAAAAGCGAATCGAACCACCCCCCCCCCCCTCTCCCCACTCTCCCTTCCGCTCCTGACTTCTGCTCCTCTCCCCCCTCTCTCTCCTCTTTCCCCCTTGCTCCCTTTTGCTCTCTCCCCGTTCCTTTTTCTTCTCCTCTGCCCTCCTCTCTCTCTTCTCCTTGCTGGCTTCTCCTCTCCCCTCCCTCTCCATTCCCGAGGCTTTCATTCCTCTCTCCCCTCCTCCCTTCTCCACTCCCTCTCCACTCCTTTCTTCTCCCACTCCTCCTCCCTTCCTCCGTCCTCCTCCTCCTTCTCTCCCCATTCCACTCGTAACTCCAGTACCCCTTCCCCTCTCCCCCCCCTACCCCTGCCGATGGGGCGTGGCAACTCGAACCGTCCTACATCAGCTGAGACCGAGATCGCTGCTGCTTCTCCGTCACGAGCGGGCGGTGCGGCACACACGGGCAGGTGCGAGCAGGTGGCGCTGGGCCGGCGTGCCGCTGCGCACTCGTCAGCCGCTCTTCGCACCTACTCGCGTACACACACACACCACACACACACACAACACACAACACAACACACACACACACACACACCACACACACACACAACACGTACGCACGAAACGCACACGCACGCACACACACACATTCATTCCCTCACACGGGAATAAAAGCCGCACTATACCGCATAACGAATGTGTTTTCAGTAAACATGGCTACTCGCCCTCACACGCATGCACGCACGCACGCAATCTTGGGTACGGCAAAGCACGGGCGTGTCTGAGGAGAGCGCGCTTTCGAAGCCGCAGTAACGAGCATTTTTCTTTTCTTTGTAGAAAGTGTCCGAATCCAAAGGGGGGGGGGGGGGGGAGGACTGGTGGGAGGGGGAGGGAGAGACTGTGGGAGAAAGGGGAGGGAGCGATGGGAGAAAGGGAGACAGGGGAGGAGGAGAAGGATGAAAATGAGGATAAGGATAAGGCGGTATATGTGGAGGTGAAAGAAGGGGAAAATGAAAATGGATTTGGCAATGGAAGAGCAATAAGAAAAAAAAATGTAAGAGAAAAAATAAAGGGAAAGAGAAGGCAAAAAGGACGAGATAGGGGAGAGAGGTTGGGTCTGGGGAGTTGGGATAAAGGGGAGGGGGGGAGAGGGAGAAATCCGTCGGGAGTGACACGCCCCCTTCTGCGAACGCTCGAGAGGAGGTGGGAAGGGGGGGGGGCTTACTTTCGACGGACAAGGAAAGCATCGCGGGCGGGGAACAGCTGACGGACGAAAGACATAACGAGGGAAAACTTGTATTGCATTTTATACAATATACATATATAAAACACACATATTGATAATATATATATATATAAATATATTATATATATATATATATATATAATATATATATATATATAAATATATATATATATATATATATATATATATATATATATATATATATAATATATATATATATATATATATATATATATATATATATATATAAGAGAGAGAGAGAGAGAGAGAGAGAGAGAAGAGAGAAGAGAGAGAGAGAGAGCGAGAGAGAGAGAGAGAGAGAGAGAGAGAAGAGAAAGAAAACCCCAATTACGTCACAGTGACGTCACAGCACAGTCCACCGGTGACTCACGCGCTCCCTTTCACCACCACCGGATATACTTACTTAATTCCAACCTCACCCCCCCCCCCCACCCCGGTTTACCCGTACTCCCAACCCCCTAACCCCCCCTCCCCCCAATTAAAGAAGATAGCCCCCAAAACCTCAAAAAAGGACCGCATTTCCCTCAATCATCCAAAGACATTTCGCCGGCCCTCCTCTCCCTCCCTCCCCCCCTCTCCTCATCCGTACCTCCCATCTCTCTCCCTCCCTCCTCCTCCTCCTCCCTCTCCTCCCTTCCCTCCTCCCTCCCTCCTCCCCTCCTCCCCCCCTCCTCCTCCTCCCTATCCCTCCCACCACTGGACCAAAATTACCAGGGAATCCGCCTGTCTGACTTCTGTATGGCCTTGGCCGCTGCTGCAATCTTATCTCTCTCTCTCTCCCTCTCTCTTCCCTCTCCCTCTCCCTCTCCAGAGAGCGGACATCATCTCCCTCTGTTTGTCCCTCTCTCGATTGCTATATACATTTGTTTTTATTCATTTTCTTTCTCTCTCCTTTACTTGTATAATGTCAGTTATTTTCTCCATCGGCTACAGACGGCGACAATCGAATACATTTCATTTTTTTATATCTACAATTTCCCTCTTCCTCATTTACTTATTCTTTTTCATTTCTTGTTTTATCTTGCACTCCCTTCTAGCATTCAAAATTTCCCGCCAAAAGAACCCTCAACAAGACGGCGACATCCGAACACCTTATTCCTCTGTTCGTATCTCCAATTTCCTTCTTTCTCATTTACTGGTACTTCTCTTATTTCTTGACACAAGAATCCGCAGCCCAGAGACGACAAAATCCTAATTCACCTAATCTTCTACAATCACGGATTAGCTTCTCTATTCCAAATTTTCCAATCACTACCATTAGCACTACGCAACCAACTGCAGTACGAAGCCTAACGCCCATTGGTCAACGGCCGACGGCAAATTGACCAATCAGCTATAACGTACCAAAAAAGAAAAACAAGAAAAAACTAACCCCCACAAATGTCATGACTGTGGGAAAAATGTGGGCGTGAGTGTGTGATGGGGGACGTGAGCGTGTGTGGTGGGGGGGGGGGGGAAGGTGAGGTGAAGGGGGTGGGGGGATAGACGAAATAAAACAAATCTACCTACAAATACCACCGACGTTAGATCCCTAAAAGCACCCAAAATCAACAACAAAAAAAAACAACAACAACAAAAGCACCTAGCAGTAACAACCAGCAAAGTGATTACCATTGCGTGGATGAAAAAAAAAAAAAAAAAAAAAAAAAAGAAGGGGGGGGGGGGTGCCAACACTCGATACTAACCGTCGATCACTTTCTCCTCATCGGCCGAGTCCTCTGGATGAGCATGGAGTCGGATGGATGAATGTACGAATAGATGGATGGATAGATGGATGGTCGATCAATCGCCAGGCAGGAGCAAGAAAGATTGATAAAAAAGGATGATTTTAGAAGGGGGAAAAAAAGAGAGAAAAAAAAAGGAATGAATTATCATAAAAGAGACAAGAAAATATGATGATCTTGGAAGGACAAACAGAGACGATCAAGATGGACAAAGAACAGAGAAAATGGATTGATATAAAAAGAGCATAGAAGGTATATAAAAGAGGAAAACAAGAAAAAAAAACAAGAAACAAGAAAATGACAACTTACAAACGCCGCTCGAAAACTCACCTCTCTGTTTCTCGTTTTCTGTGAAAGAGAGAAAAGAAAACGCCGATTAGTTTCCTCGTCGCAAACAAAAACAAAAAAATACTCCAATCCAAAATAAAAAAATAAAAAATACACAGTAATCACAACATCAAAATACCATAACAAATAAAGAAAAGAAAAAAAGAGAAAAAAAACTAAAAACATTTTCTCATGACGGAAGCAGGGAAAATAAAAGCTTGGGAGGAGGGGTGGGGGGTGAGGGGGGTAAGCGAAGTCAGCTGGTAAGCCTATCCATATGGCTTCCGCTGTTCGTCCTTTCGCCCTCGTGTCCTGTCTCTCTCTCTGGCGGTAGGTTTCCTCTGTCTCTGTCTGTCTGTATGTCTGCTTGTCTATCATTCTGTCCTTCAGTACTGTCTGTCAGTATCGTTGTCACGTTCGCACACAAAACTCTGGTGTCTAGATTCTCTCCACATCACTCTTCATCCTCACTCACGCACTTCACTTCGCTCACCCACTCACACACACTCACACACCACCCCACTCACACTCACCCAACCCACACTCACACTCACTCACTCACTCACTCACACTCACAACCCCTCTCACTCACTCACCTCTCACTCACATCACCACTCACTCACCCACACTCACTCACACACTCAACTCACACACACGTCACTCACTCACCACTCACTCAACCCACCAACTTCCACCCACCTCACTCACTCACACAATCACCACTCATTCACTCACTCCCCCCCCCCCACCCCTTTCCGTGCCTGATCCGCATCCCCGTCCACGCATCCCCCTCCCCCCCCCAGACCCTACCCCCCCTCCCTAAGGTTTCCCCATCGCTATTATTCTCGTTCAGGATTTGTTTTTGCTCGCCCCTCCTCCTCTCCCCGCCCTAAGAATAGAAAAAGGGGGGCAAAGGGTACGTTCGGACATCCAGCCTCGTTCGTCTTGAGAGTTTTGTTGAAGAATTCCACTCTTGAAAACAATAACCATGAATCATAACAGTAAAAATCACAATAACAATAACAAAACAAGCAAAACAAGAACAACAAACAATAAAAATAATATAATAATAATAATAATAAACAAAGTACAAAAACAACATTTATGATAAAAACAATAAAACAAAATCCAACAACAGCAGCAACAACAAACAGTACATCCACCTGTCCAGCCAAATTCCAGGCGTCAGAGAACCCCCGTACTTTACCGGCTCACCCACCAAGGCTGCGCCGCATCCACGCCATACACGCGATCTCCTTCGCCCAAGTACGTCAACATGCAGGCTTACGGAGCTCATCATACAGCACAGTGACGCAACATAAATTACCGTGTTCATACTACGGTAGAAAAAAAAAAATAAACACGATATAACGAAACTTACTTTGAGTGATCTTCTCGTCATACATGCACATGCACATCACATAACATGCACATCGCACACGCACATACACCCATATCTCTTCACACACACACACACACACACACACACACACCACCTAAAAAAAAAAAAAAAAAAAAAAGGAACGGAAGAGAAATGGAGAGAAAAGAAAACGGGGGGAAAAATCAAAGAAAACGGCCGCGGTCGCCCCCCCCCCCCCCCCGAGACTGGCTCATCACAAGGTCACTCGGCGAAAAACGATAAGACAAACTTTTCATTTCCAGCCGTCGCTCAGGCTCCAGATGCAGGGGAGGGGAGAAGAGGAGGGAAGGGAGAAGGCGAAAAGTGGAGAGAAAGGGAGAAAGGTGAAGGAGAGGAAAGGGGAGGAGGAGGGAGGGAGGGGAAGGGGAGAGGGAGGAGGGAAGGGAGAGGAGGAGGAGGGGGGGGGGGAGGAGGGGGAAAGGCAGGGAAAAGGTGAGGGACCGAAAAAATATAGGTAGTAGAGATGAAACGAAAAAGAAAGAAAGGAAGGCACAGGAAGTAAAAAAAAAATGTATACAAAAATAATAAATAAAAAAATTAATAAAATAAAAAAAAAAAAGTGCAGCAACAAACAAATTATTCACGCAAAAAGAAAGGCAAAAAAAAGGGAAATCACGAAAATGAATAGAACGAAAAAGGGAGAAGATATACGTAAAAAAACAAACTCCTCTACTCCCTCCCCATACACGTACAGGTCGTGCCAGGTCAAGCTAATTTAACCCCCCCCCACCTTCCCCCATACACCCCCCCCCACAGCACTACCATCTACTCCCCCCCCCCCCCACACCCTCCTCATCTACCTACCAACGCATACACGTACTTATCTACCAGCCTATTTTTTCCTTCCTCTTCCCTTCATCCATTCCATCTTCCATTATTATTACTCGCTTCCCTCCCTCCCCCTCACACTCTCTTGCTCCATGGTTCCCTGTCTCTCCTCTCCTCCGCCACCCCCCTCTCCTTTCCTCTCTCCTCTTCCCCTCCCTTTCATTTTCCCTTTCTCCTGCTCTTCTTCCCTCCCCTCCTCCCTTCCCATCATCTCCTCTCCCTACCCTTACACCTTCCCCTTCCCCCCTCCCTCCCCTCCCTTCCTTCCTCCTCATCCACCACCTCCCCCCCTCCCTTCCCATCCTCTCTTTTCCCTTCCCTCCCCTTTCCCTCCCTTCCTTTCTCTCCTCCCCTCCTTTTTCTCCCCTCTCCTCCTCTTCCCTCCCTTCCCTTTCTCTCCCCTCTCCCCTTCCCTTCCCTTCTTCTATCCCCTTTTCCTTCCTCCCCCCTCCCAACCTTCTCTCCCACCTCCCCCTCCCTTCTCATTATGCCTTTTCCCTTCCTCTCCCCTTCCCTCTCCCCTCCCTCCTCCTCCCCTTCCCCCTCCTTCCCCCTCCCTTCCCCCCTCCCTTCCCCTCCCTCCCCCTCCCTTCCCATCCTCCCCTTAAGAGGCTATCGCAGCACGACACGTTAATTATCTGGTCAGAATATTCACGAGAGTCCAAATCCGGATACGCGCATTGATTGCCTACACGATCTTTCCCAGATTTTTTTTTTATGTCCACTCTCTCTTTCTCTTTCATTCTCTCTCTCTCTTCCTTTTTTGGGGTCTTGAAACTATTCTTCATACACTCCCTCGCTCTCTATCTTTCTCTTGCCTTTTCTCATTCTCACCTTTTCCTCTTTTTTCTGAAACCCAAAAAACCTTGTCCGTTTACATTTTTTTTCTATCCATATATTCATTCTGTCTGAAAACCAGTCTGTTCGTCCACATACATTCCTCTGTCCACATGCATATACAGACAGATTCACATGTCTCTTTTTGCTGCCTGCCCGTCTGTCCACATACATCTGTCTACACGCCTATCTATCTCCATCTCAATCTGGCTAGACATGTCTGTCTATCTCTACGCCCGCCTCCCTCCCTGCGTCGGCCAGCCAGCCAGCCTTGCGCACCCGCCCTCCTGCCAGCTGGTCCCGTCCTCCCGCGTCCGAGGGCGTGGACGGCAGCGCGGAGACGAAGCCGAGGACAACAAAAACAACAACAAAGGGAACACGAACAAGGGACAAGGACAAGGGGGGGGGGGGGGAGGGAAGAGGGAAAAAAATAAATAAAGGATTATTACGACGTTTAATAATAAAAAAAAACAATATAAATCGGGAGCTCGCAAAAGGGAGAGGATTCAGACAACGAATGGCGGAAGAGCGAGAGGAGGAAGAGTAAGAAGCACGAGGCGCCGGATGGAAGATAAGAGAGGAAGAAGCGAGGGAAGGGGTAATTAAGTAGAGAGAGAGAGAGTGAGAGAGAGAGAGAGAGAGAGAGAGAGAGAGAGAGAGAGAGAGAGAGAGAGAGAGGAGAGAGAGAGAGAGAGGAGAGAGAGAGAGAGAAGAGAGAGAGAAAAGAGAGGTTGCAGAGGAAGGGAAACAGAAAAAGAAGCACGAGAAAACAAAAGACGGAAGAGAAGGCAGAAGAAATAAGAAAAAAAATAAAAAAAACAAAGCAAATCACAAAACACACACAAACAACAAAACAAAAAAAAACCGGGAGAAGCCAACGAAAAGAACAAGAACAAGAACAAGAGGAAGCGGCGGCGTCGGGTCGGGTCGGGGCCACCACTGTACATCATCTGGACAAATGTCTACCTAATGACCCGACCCGAAGGACACAGCACCGTCACAAGGGGGAAGGGGGGAGAGGGAGAGGGAGAGGGAGGAGGAGGGGAAGGGAGGAGAGAGGGAGAGAGGGAAGAGGGAGAGGGAGGAGGGGGAGGGAGAGGGGAGGGAGAGAGAGAGAGAGGGAAGGGGGAGAGGGAGGCGAGAGGGAGAGGGAGGGAGAGAGAGGGGGGGGAGAGAGGGAGAGAGAGAGGGGAGAGAGAGAGGGGGAGGGAGAGGAGGGGGAGGAGAGGGGGAGGAGAGGGGAGAGGGGCTCGGCGAGCGAGGGAAAGAGCGGCCGCCAAGGAGGAGCAGGGAACGCGGCGAAGAGACGAGGGGAAAAAAGAGAGAATGAGGGGAGCGGGAAGAGAGGGGAGGAAGGAAAATGGGCGGGAGCAGAGAGAGAGAGAGAGAGAGAGAGAAAGGGAAGGAAATTGTGAGCCTGAGTCAGTGTGTGTGAGAAGAGAGGGGAAAAGAAGAGAAAAAAAAATAAAATAGAGAAAGAAAAAAAAAAGGGGGGAAAATAAAAAAATGAGAAAAACAGAAAATAAAAAATGAACACGATATCAAAAAAGAAAAAAAAAAAAAAAAAGAAAACACAAGAACGAAAACCACAAAGAGAGAAGAGAAGAATTGACAAGAAGCGAAAAAGAAAAAAAATGAGAAGAGAAAAACACAGGAGCGAAAAACACAGATAAAAGAGAAGACTTGATAAGAATACAGAAGAAAAACACACAAAGACAAAATCAAAAAGACAAGACCGAAAAACAAACAAAACGAGAAAAGAAACAAAATAAAGAAACTAGAAAAAAAACACAAGAACGAAAAACACAAACAGACAGAAGCGAAAAAAAAAAAAAAAAAACACACACAAGAACGAAGAGAAAAAAAAAACGAAAAAAACAAACAACAACAACAAAAAAAAAACACAAGACCGAAAAAAAAACACAGCGGAGAAAGC